TGGTGCCTCCCAAGCACACTGTATCACACCAGCAGTTTGGCATCTCAGTTTTGGTTCTATTTCTCAGAAGTTGTGTGAGAGGAACCTGCCAAGAAACACTGTATTCAGCTGGCCATAGCAGAAGCTGGAGAAACACAGTGTAGAGGTCAAATGCTGGGTCTGGATTCAGGAACCTGCAGGATTTACAATGGAATAACAGCAGCTGGGCAAGCAGCTTCTTTGTAAAATAGCTCCAACAGGCCACCTGTAAGCCCAGGTGCTTGTAAAGCAAAACTGGGCAGCAGAAGGCACCCAAGGGCTTATGCATTTTTATTTTGCTGGCCTCCTTTCACCCCTGAAGCCCTTTCACTGAGCCTCAGACAAGACCTGCAATAGTTTCACTTTGAGCAGTGACTGTTTTAATCTCTTGACAGCATTTCCCTTCCTTGCCATCTCCAACAATGAAAAGGAAACCAAGAGAAAAACCAGAAACCTCTGTGTTGTAGGTATTGATGGTTCTAGAACACACCTGGGCTGAGGACAGCAGGAATCATGTCAGCACGTACCAGGCACCCTTCTCACCCCTCCTTTGTCAGGGTAGGGCTCCCTTGAGCAGCTCTCAGGCAGCAGCACTTTGCTTTGCCTCAGCTTCCCCTGCAATCCTGACATGTCTTGGGTGGCTACAGCCCATTTTCAACCATGATTCAGTGGAGAACAAAAAAGCTCTCGAGGGTAGGAAGTGGGGCTAAGGCTTCTTTGGAAGCAGGATTCAGTAATCCCGATTGCCACCTTTAAAAATCAGTGCCCTTGGGCCCCAGCCAGCCCTCAGCTCTGTCAACATCTTTACTGCCAACTTTACTAACAGTCACACAAATGTAAATCTACTGTGAGAAGAGGATTAAGCCCATTCTGGTTTTATGGCCTATGAAATGTCTCCTGCCCTGCTGCCGCTGTGCAGTGATACATAACACAGAAAAGGGGAATTCAGGCTGCTATTGTGTCTTCAGAATTTTAAAGGAAAAAAAACATAATTCCAGAAACTTTACCAGCCAGAGAAGTGCATATGTGTACGAGGTTTCTTCCAAGGCAGAAGCTAAAAGCCTTTACCTTGCCAGATGCTGGTCGGGGTACATAATTTTTTCCCTCAAAATAAGATTATCAACAGCAATTTTCCATGCATTCAAGTTCGGGATTTTGCCTGCAAGGGGATTAAAACTGAGGCAAACATGAGCCTGCCTGGATACTGCCCTGCTCCATGTAGAGCTCTCACTTGGGGTGAGACCTAAGCAGGGGTTATGTAGGAATCCCACTAAAATTATTATTCCTTCACTGATGACTCAGTTGGCTGAGATTTTCAAGAGGACCGAGGGAATTATATTTATGGTTTCTAAAAATTTCAGTTTGGTGTGGGTTCCTTACCCCCTTAGGTTGATATTTCATACAAAAGGGGTTTTTTTAGAAAGGGATTTTTTACTATAAAATTTATTATTGGATTTCAGCTCTTGGGCTGGGAATATATTTTTGTTCCAGGTTTCTATAATCTTATAGCATGGTTCACACCTCTTAGCAGGATCTGAATACCACTAAATAATTGTAATGATTATTAACAGTGTAACTCCATTGAGCTGTCAGCAGAAAAACAGCCAAGCTGAATACATATTTCAATTAAAGATGCAGAATTATGCATATTTATGCACAAGCCTGAAAAGCAGATGATATTTAAAATGTACTTCAGGGCAGGAGATACAATTAATTTTTCATTACCTTTATTACTTATCCCAGTCTCCAGCTTGAAGGTCTCATTCACCCAGTCCTTAGCCGTGTGAAGTTGCTGTTGCCTTCAGTGTAAGATTTTCTGAGTGACTGAGACTTTTTTGGTCACAGGGGATAGGTAGGGACTGTAATGAGATACAACACTGACCCTCGAAGGCACAGTTGATAGCGTTTGCCTAAATGGGAATCCACCTCCCTGGCAGACACTCACATTCACACACTCAACCTCTGCTTCAGCTCTCAGTCCTCCTGGTGAAAGTCTCTTGCAGATCAGAAAGAAAAGCGGGGCATGAAGGCAAACTGCAGTGACCTCTTGTTTTGGTATGTAGTGCTGTTTGGTTTGGCATTGGGGATATATTTAGTAAACCGTCATCTGTTATAATTCGTGTGGGGACAGCTCCCATATTTTGAGAGACGTTTGCTGTCCTGCATTGCCCAGAGTCCCTAAATTGCTCTGTCATTTACACACTGGTCTATTTTAAAAGCAGTGTTAGTGGACACATCCTTTCCTTTAAACCCACCATAAGGATCTTCAGCTCCCAAATGCTTGTGCAGGTTTTTAGCCAAGTCCTATTCTCCTGAGCAAACAATTTGATATTTATTTGTAAACAGTTTTCCTTAAACCAAGGGAAATGCATGCGAAATGAGACACTGCTGTGTTTCTGACCATGTGACAGACTGTCCCTTGAAGTGTGGCCTCAGCCTTCCAGAGGTATCATCCTTCCTGTGGCAAGCCCAGCTATTTTTGGCCATCGAGGCCCTGGTGTCAGGCGCTGGGGGACCTTCTGCTCTGCACGAGCACGTGGACCAACAATTCCATTCCATGCAGGGAGCCACCAGCCAAGCATTAGTGCCAGTCACAGGTTTGCTGGCTCATCCACTGCCTGGGGCTGACCACAGAGCAATACCTTGTTTGCAATTTGCAGTGGGAAAACCAAACATGTTATTTTGTGTTTAGCCCAAACATCAGCAGTCACCCTCACGTCTAAAGAAAGGGAAGGAAAATGACAAGAGAAAGAGCCTCTACCAGCACAAAGATGGGTTTAAATCACGAGGACCAAGGCAGTGCTGCTGTCACCTCCCCCCAGTCCCTGCAGGGCCCCACAGGTGGGACCCCAAGACCCCCAGTCTCCCCACATTTCTCCACAACTTTGCAGCCTTCCATCTCCACCCTGGGAATGTCACACCCCATGGCCAACCCGTCAGGGTGAGTTCACCCACCACCCCAGCTGCCAGCCCTGGAGACAAGCCCGGCTCAGAGGCAGCCAGTCACAGCTCCTAAGCTGGATTTGGGCTTCCTCAGCCTTGGAGGGCAACGATAACCCCTTGTCCCCTCTGCTGATCAGGGCTACTCCTCTCATTATCACTTATAAATGGCTCCTGACACAGGCCTGTCCTGTGCAAGTCCCAGACCTCTTACTCACATATATACTACCAAGACAGGGTTTTTGGGTGCAGTGAGGAGTTGAGCTGTTCCCTCCAGCTTTAAGCACCACAGGAAGCTGCTGGACATCTCCTGGTTGACCTACAGTGAGTCCCTGGCCCTTGTTCTGCAGAAATAAACTAAAAGCTTTTCCCAAATTTTAATTTCTGGAGAATGTCCACTGATACATAGGCTAGTGCAATACATTATCATGTATCATACACTGCTTGTCTTGAAAAAAGCAAGGTCAAATGAGTACACCTTGCAGACACAGCAGGAATTTTGTGGTGGTTGCAGTTCTTCCAGTAGTTGTTATTATTAGGGTTTGCAGTGCATAAAATCCAGGACTCTTCTGTGGCAAAGGGACATATCGCTGCCACCAGCAGAAAAAAGGATAAGGAGAGCCTGTGCACAGCCCTGGAGGTGTCAGAGGTAATGGAGTCATTATGGATACCTGGGCAGAACTTGTTCCTGACAAAGGCAGGCAGAGATTGGACCTGTTCAAGCCTAATTTGGCCAAAGTGGTGCTTGAGCCTCCTCAGTTTTTTTCAGGTAGAGAGAAAAGTGGTCCCAGAGAGCATCTGGAGGAAGATTGGAGCAAGAGTCCCCAGCAGAGCAGACATTCATGCAGATGAGGACAAGGCCAAAAAGGGGGAAAACATGGGTGTGAAGAGCGACAAAGTCCTGGCTTAGGTGGAGGGTGATGCAAGACCTCGCTGCTGCTCCAGAAGGCATTTTTGTCCTTCCCCGCCACCTCTAGCCAGGTGGCCTTCACATCTCCTTTCTATCAGACTGGCACTTGTGGGAGCCATAAATCCCAGCTTAAATGAGCTGGTGCAGCTGGAGAATGGTCTGGAAAAAGGCATGTAGTTGGTTTTCAGTTGTCTGGCTGGAGCCAGCACAGGGAGCCATGGTTGATGGATCAGAGAAAGGGAGAGCAGGAAGGGCACAGCCTGCAGCTTCTGGCAGCTCCGCCCATGTGGGTGAGCATGAGCCAGCATTTTGTCTGAGCTGATCTAAGTGGAGCAGTCACAGTAGGGTGATCCCATCCTGAGCTGCCCCAGCTGTGCCCTCTCCTTCTGTCCTGCACCAGGTTTAGTGATGAGAGGTCACTAGAATGAGTCAGCTCAACTATCAGATCCAACAGAAAACTAGGAAGCCTTTAACAGCAAGTGTGGTCAAACACTGGAATAGGCTTCCTAGAGGGGTGGTTGATGCCCCAAGCCTGTCAGTGTTTAAGAGGCATTTGGACAATGTCTTTAATAATATGCTGTAACTTTTGGTCAGCCCTGAAGTGGTCGGGCAGTTGGATGAGAGGTTTGTTGTGGGTCCCTTCCAACTGAAAGATTCAATTCTATTCTATTCTATTCTATTCTATTCTATTCTATTCTATTCTATTCTATTCCATTCCATTCCATTCCATTCCATTATAGAGGTGCTTTCTGGGATGCTTCTGGTCAATCATGTCAGGGTACTGAACAAATTTGTCCCACAGACGTATCACCACTAGATGCAATGCAAGGGGAGTAGTCTTAAATGTGTGGTTTCGTGATGTGGCTGAGCCCATTCACCTGCCCCCAGCCCCTGAGGGGCATGGTCTGTCCCTGTTCCCTCCCCATGGCACTTGTGGCTGGGCAGGACTGCGGCACTGGCACTGGTACTCACTGACCACGCAGCCACCTCACCCTTCAGGGACCTGAAGCAACCAACAGCTCATTGCAAGAAATAAAAACAGCTTCAGGCTGGGCTGGTTGAGCACCCTGGCACGCTGTGCTGGGGAGCACCAAAGCCAGGGATCAGAGGAGGTGGATGTGCTGTTGGTTTGATGCACAGAGCTGTACCCCAGAGCCACCCCCCCAGTGTGACCTTGCAGCAGAGTCAGAGCACAGCAAGAGCTGCAGTGCCAGCAGAAGGCAGAAACGACTGCTCCCAGGCAGATGTTCAGTGAACTGTCCCAGCACACCTTTCTGCAGCAAGATGCAGCACAGGGCTCCAGATGTTTCACCAACCTGCAACAAAGAGCCAGGTCAAGGTCACTCCGGCAATGCAAAACAAACTGCAGGCAGATGTGCATGAGCAGACTGCATTTCTATAAAAGAAAACAACTTTTAGGACAAAACTCAACTCTTGCTAGTGCAAGGAAAGGTAAGCTGGGTGTGGGAGAACACGTGCTTGCTGCAGCAATGAAATGGCTCATCTCCAAGTGCCAGATAGGCCCCCAAGAAGGCCCTGCATGACACAGAGATGCTGTTATTCCACTGCCACCATGGACCAAAACAAAATGTAAATCTCTCTGAAGTTCAAAGTATTACTCCATGCTGTTTTAATAACAAAGTTCACTGTGTAATTTGGCTCTGTGCTCTTTATTCACTTCAGACAAGTCCAAAAATGAAATGGGAATCGGGTAAGAGGCCAGAGCTGAAGTTGCTCATAGCTTATGTTTAGTTCCTTCCATTACACTTTCATTTTCAGTGCCACTAATCCTTTATTTTCGTGACAACTTTAAAGATCCATTTTAATTATAATGTAATGAAAAAGCTGAATCCAGAGATGCAGCTGCAGAAGGGCAATCGCCTCCTGTGCTTTGTATTTAGAAGAGGTGATTCACTGTACATTCCAGGGACGGATTGAAATGATAAATTTTAACAATGACAAAGTTCAACAATCAGGAAGTCTTAATTTAAAAAAACCCACCTGGTATTTTAAATTCAGTTTTACTATGGTTCTCCACAGTTATTTCAATTTTTAAAGAAAGATTAAGTTTAGTGACTGATGGAATTAAATAGATGTGACTAACCAGGAGGGCACCTGTGGCTTTCACTTATTCAAGTGAGTCTGTATCTTATATGCATTTATTCAGATTCCTAATTATATCTCAATAAAACTATTAGAAATGGTGAATTATGCTTTTTTTTTTATTTATTATTTTTCACTTAGGTCAAACTGGATGGAGGTTGAGTTGCAATTAAATATGAGTAAACAAGTGCTTTAAAATTTAATTTTAGTCTATAAAAGATCTTAACTGTCCTAAATACATAAAGGAAATGACACAGGACGTATTCTTTTAAAAAAATAATTAGAGTTAACTGATTCATTAAATAAACAAGTATTTTCTGTAATTGGATTAGGAGGATTTTTTCTGAATTTCAAGATGTCAGAAGTGCTAGCTCTCATCCTCAGCTGTCTCCCTTTCTTGGGTAAAAGGAAGAAAACAAGTTTTCCTGCTTTTTCTGTTGTCAATTAATTTCTTCAGCTGTCCTTAGCCAGGTAGCTGAATAAACTGGAAATAAGAAATACTCTTTCTGCCCTTGCAGATCATGCTCTTGGTGAAGCTTCATGCCAGTTCTGGCTGCTGGACCCTCCGACCCGACAGAGCACCGTGTGGGGAGATGGGACCACAACCTCCAGTGAATTCACAGCCACGTTAAACCACGTTAAACTGCTGTGGGTCATATTTCATTATAAATAGCCCTATTTCCAACTGAGTAAATGCAATTAAACATCTCCAAACATCTCAGTGGCTGTTTGGAGGGCGGTGCCCAGCACTGGGTTAGTAGGTGGGTTCCCATCGGCAGGACAGATCCTCCTAATGAAGCCAAAAGCAAATTTTGGTGCAAATCTCCTCCAAAAAGCGTTTGGTCCAGTGCTGGCTGGCGGAAAGGGGGGGTGGGGTGGGGTGTTGTCTCCCACCAGCCTGATAAAGGCCTGGAAAAATGAGGGACCTTCATTAAAGGCTTTTCATCAACGCCGGTGATTCGCAGAAGCAACGCTGACATCTAGTGGGGAAGCGCGTTACTCGGGCAGCAGGCAGCGAGCGAGGACTGGGGAGGAATTTTTCCAAGGAGGAATTACCACCGCTGTTGGTAACGGTTGGAAAGGCATCAATAATGAACATTTTGAAAGTCTGTATCGATGACTTGTGTGACCTCTAGTTTCTGGGGGAGCTGCTACCCGGCACTGAGGACAGCCCTGCTGTTTTTCACTCTGTTTTAAGCATCACGGAATCAAATCTTCTCATTCCAGCCTTAAAGCCGAAGGGTTAAAACAGCAGAAGGAAGGGATCTGTCTCACTGTTGAGCTTAACTCTATGTTTTACCCATTTTGTACTACAGAGATTAATGTTCAGTGCTTACATAAACACTGAACAGAGGCACATGCTGGATATTGCTCCCCTGCAATCATATCTGACAACAGCTGTGAAAGCCTGAGAAATCAGAATTTTTATGCCTGTAACCCATGCCTCTCTGTGCTTTTAAAGGACAATTTGCCAAGAAGTTGGATTAGAAGAGAAGTTAAAGGAGGAGGTGTTTCCCTCAAACCTGAAAAGGCAATGGCCAGTTTTATAGTTCTGATTGATAAGAAGAAAGATATGGAAGGGAATGATAAGCCTTCCATGGCATAGAAATGACTGTGAGACCAAGGTGAGTGAGCCCACCAGGAAAACCTGCTACCACCAGAGCCAGCAAGGAGAGGCTGAAAAACCAGGAGAGAGCTGTGCATTTAAGGTTTATTTTGCTTTCTCAACTCAAAGTGGATGAGGTCTACTCATAAGCATCCTGTTTGGAAAATGCTATTGCATGTCAGGACAAAGCCTTTAGACTGTAAATGTTAAATTCCTTCAAGAGCTAGCTTTCCTACAGGAAACATGGAGGCAGGGGCTTCCCCAGGAGAAGGACAGCAAGGTGGTAAAGGCAGGGCTGCCTGGGCCCACAAACTAGTTTTGAGCATGGATGAGAAACACATTAAAAAATCTGCTTTTCCAGGCTTGAATTATAAAACTTGTAATAAAGCAGGGCATATTCTTAGGGAATATGTAGAAAAGAATGCCTACTTTTCACTGACTTGAGGAAATTCCTTAAAATGAAGGGATTTCTATGGCTGCAAACAAAATTTACAAAACACACCCTGTCTTTTGACAAAGAAAAAATTTAATCAAGACCTTAAACAATGAGTTTGGTTACAGAGAGAGCTAAAGCATTCCTCGGTTCAGGCTTGTTCACTAAAACCTAGCTCCAACAGAGAACTCTCTATTGTTCAGGATTGCTGCAGTGCTCAGCCTAAACCTCAAGGTAAATACTTGACTCATGTTTTCTGCTCTGGGAGTGTATTAAATAGACAACAAAGCTTCTCCCCAAAGAAAAGGTCTTGTGTCTTACAGTATCCCTTTCAGCTGCTGCAGAAAGCTTGCAGACCCTGCAGGGCTACCTGCCTGACTTGGCAAGAATGGCAAGAGGGATGCTGAATCCTCTCATCAACACACTGCAGATGCTCATGGAAACCCTGGAAAGCAGGACTGCTTTTCTGAAGTGATTTCCACTGTGGTTTCCACTGTGGTAGCTTCTGTTAAAGCAAACTGTCTTCACGAGCAGTTCCCAGTATCCCAAGTTATTGCAGTCATACAACAGTATTTTCCTAATTACATTTCATTATCTTTTCTTTTCTCTCTTTTGTTTGCCTTCACAGTTTGGAGCTTTGTTAAAGCTTTATTGGGACCCTAAATTGAAACTTGGCAAAGCTACTCACAGACAAAGCAAAGCTGCAGCTGCTGGAAGAGGACAAACAGCGATCCCTGCCAGCACCGAGCTGTGTTTGCTCAGTAAAGTGGACTATGTGGAAACAGCGATGTGCATTGAAAAGGCAATCACATCTGCATTTGGCTGCCTGGTAGAGTTCCCTTCCAGTCCCCAGTGCCAGATCTAGAGGCTGAAAACCGATTCTCAGCATTGCCTCTTTGGTCAGAACAGTATCAGTATCACAGACACCCAGACAAGGCACACCAGCACCCACCTTAGGACTTATGGACTACAACACTGTGCTCTGCCTAACATGAATACGGAGGTGGTAAAGCTGCTGTCACCTTATGTGTGCCAGCTCATGTCACAGCTGGAAGGCAACCTTGAATGTTACTGATCAGACATCGGAACTCACTGCCAAGACTCAGAAATCTCTGATCTCCACTCAAAGTGACTAAGCAGCAGTGCTCCTTTTTTACTTATTTACTAACAGTGGCTTATTTTCATCCCCACCGTGTGCCCATAAAGCAAAAGTCAGTGCTCAAGAAGCATAAGGCAATGGAAGCAGAAGAGTTCATTTCCCAGATGTGTGTTCAGGGCTGTGCAGAGAAGGGCTGACATACAGCTCCCAAAATACAAGGCCCCCTTTAATGTACCCTTGCTCAAGGTTTGCAGTAGTTTTTTACAGATCAGTAACTTAGAGGTTCACAGAATCACAGAATGGGTAAGGTTGGAAGGGACTACTGTGGGTCACTAGGTTCAGTCTCTCTGCTCAAGCAGGGAAATACAGGTCATGCCTGTTTTCCTGTTATCCTGGTCAAGCAGCACTTTACTACAAGATTAGAATCACAGAATGGGTAAGGTTGGAAAAGACCTGTAAGATCAGTGAGTTCAGCTGTCAACCCAGTACCACCACCATGTCCTCAAGTGCCACATCCACATGTTTTTTGAACACTTCCAGAGATGGTGACTCCACCACTTGTGATTTAATTGACTTGAACAGGCTCATTTGTGACCTTTTAAAACTCCCCACAAATATGAAGGATGTGATGCAGAAGTACCAGGTGAAATTTGCTGACACACAGAACATAAACTTTTAAAAAAATTAAAACTAACTGATTCATTAAACAATGGTCGGAGAACTTGAATTGTGGAAGGGCAGCAAAGAAACTTCCCTGAAAAAACAGACAGTGAGGCTGTAATAGCTTGATGTAAGAGGTTTTGGGCTGAAGTACACAGGTTACCTTGAAGCACATAGGAGGCTGCTAGATTTCTACTGATTACATTTTTTGGTGATAGATGCAGGAAATGCATTTAAAGGAGGGATCTGCACCGGGAGAGATTTGGGAATTTGGGCATACTGGGAAAAGATACTGCAGAAATTTCATCAGACACCATTTGCTCCTGAGATTTCTGTGTTTCTCTTTACCGTCACCAAAGTGAATGAAGTCCAAAGCAGAGAGACTTCACAAAGTCATTCAAGTCTTTATTAAACCTTGGAAATGCAGGACAGGTGAGGCTGCTCTGCCTGTAAACAGTCTTTCTTAAGGGTACCAGCATGGTGTGAGACTTCCTGCATGACTGGGTGAGACTTGCTTACAAATCCCACAGTTTTGGGAAGCACATGAAGCAGTTGGACTGAGTGCACCCCCAGTGGCTGAGACTTTCTGGAGAGCAGAGGGCACTCAGCACACACGTGAGCAGGGCAGCTTGCAGGTTCTACAGTCATGCAGGATGTCTCAACCCATGGGAAGTGCTCCCGGAGACAGTCCACCGAGATTTTGGCTGCGACACCTCTGGAAATCTTTAGCAAACAGAAAGCACTTAAGCTGAATAAAGCAGTGGATATGTGGGAGCCTTGAGTCCACCCATAAATGCCAGTGTTTTCAGGCACTCTGGCACAACCACCACACCCAATCACCCAAATTAGACTCCTAGTATGCTTTAACGAGCAGGGAGAGCCAAATGTGAGTGTCCTGGGAGGCTTCCATGTGCCACCTCCCACTCCCACAGGTTTCTCTTCACCTTCATCTGGAAAGCTGACTAATTTACTCTGAGCTGTGTGTAATGTTTGTGCACACAAGCTGGGAATGCTGCTCCTCACAACCCTACAAATGGGGAACATTTCAGAAATTCTCTTCCCAGGTCCCTCTTACTTTTTGCCACAGATCTGTATCCCCCTGGTTTAGGTTCCTTTTTGCCTACACCCCACCTGCCTCAAGGATGCCTGAAAGGCTTATGGCCAAGTGCTGCAAAAAGGAGAAAGAAATTAGTGTCTTCAGAGCAACACCCCATGGAGCAGGTCTCACAAGGCAATTGTTGGATTACTTGTCTTTGCTCCCCACTCCAGCATCCTGACCTCCCTGGCTACCAAACTCCGTGTCCACTAGGGAATGCTGGTACTGGCAGATATTTTCTTACATGTCTTTGCTCCTCCTTTAGCTCAGTGGATGCAGTTCTGTCAGCTCACATTCATAAATGCTGCGATTTATTTGATGCACAGATTGGCACATTTTTGCGTTTACTACACGTAGTAAACCTCAGACCTGGTGTGTATTTGCAGATGCATTTATGTAATTAAACATTTAGGGGTAATTACTCTAATTGCCTAGCTTGACTTGCTAAGCCTCCCATTCCGAGGATGAAATTCATTTACCTAAAGAGGCTTCATCTTCATAGTCCCTTTCATTCATATCTGCCCCTTACACAGCTGAGGGCTTTGCCATATCCCCTTTCCCCTTCATTTATACCTGTCTCTTACACAGCTGAGGGCTTTGCCATATGCCCTTTCCCACACTGTGACTCCTTACATTAGATATAGGCAGTGACAGGGGCTGCTGGATCCTCAGAGCTGGATGCACATGTTACAGGTGGTCTGCACTCAGGTATGCTCAGGTGTGTTTGCTGGCACAGCCCCATGATTTCCAGCAGACATCTAACCCAGATGTGGCTTGGCATGGCATTCCCTTCTCCCTCTCTACATCCCCATTCAACAACCAGCACAGGCTGAAGAATCCTGTGAGGTCTGGCTGTGCAATGCTGAGCTAATCCCTCCGTGTCTGCAGAGCTCCCTCATCCGGGTGTTCGCAGATGAATTTGCAAACGAGAGAACACTCTGTTTTGAGCACAAAGCTGCAAAGACCTTGACATTATAAAAACCAAGCCTCCAGCCCGCGGGTTGTAGCTTTGCATTTTGACTATTTAGATAAGAACATGCTGCCTATTCTACTACTCTTTAAACAGGCTCAGGTTTAATCATTGATGTGCTGAAGGGAGATACACCTTCATTCCTGCAATAACTCTGTGCTGCTTGTGCTGAGGGGAAGAGTCCTGAAGGAATAGAGCTGTTGTGACCATTTGCCAGCTCCTCTCAGCCTTTCTGAAGGGGCAGAATTTCATGTGTCGCTCATGCACTGCCCTGGGCAGCCTCACCCAGCAGCTTTTTGCTGGAGGGTGAATTTTTGTTTTCCCAAATTGGATGGCTTTCCCGATTCTTCTCAACAGACATAGAAATTATCCTCAAAAAAGTAACCAATGGGATCCAGAACAGAGATAAGGCTTACCAGTGCTCCTCCTTAGCTCTGCAAAGGCACTGACTTCTCATGCCTTAAAGCCATAACACAATGAAGATTAAAATAAACAGTACAGGTGGGTGTTTTCTTTATGGGCTTTCTTCTCTTTCTGTTCTCTGGACAGCTGGACTTGGAGCAACTCCTACATTTATTTGGACAGGTGGAAAGAAAAATGGGGCAAACTGAATCATATTCTTTTGATTCTCTGAAATAGCTCTAAATGAGATTTTATTGTCTACACAGCATATATTAAACAGGCAACGATCCAACAAAGTTTCGTGGTGCTGTCTTTTGGAAAACTTATTTAATTTGTCAGTGGGTTTCATGCACCTACGATACATATTCCCATGAGTAATAACAAATAGCCTTTAAAGCATGCCACTGCACAATGGCCCAGCATGAGAACAAATCTTTCCTTGGAATTCAGAGGTACCGCTCCTGCCTGGCACCATTTCCCTGTACCACTAGGTGGCTTTTCCACCCAGTAGTTTGTATCTCTTAAAAGTCACTACAAGTACAAATACTTATAATATGAGTACAATGAATCTGCTCCTAAGTGCAACCATCAAACCAGTGGAAAGTAGAGAATAAAGCTAAGACATCCTTCAGCAGATGAATTCTTAAATTCCCATACATTTACACTGAAATCTTCACCAATCCCTTGTCTCTCCTTCTAATGCTTTGTTTCGAGTTAGTTACAGCCGGCTGCTGGCTAACTTCTGGATTTTGAACAGCATAAGGTGTCTGCTCAAATATATTCCTGTACAGCTATAGAACTTTGCAAAATAGTGTGTATGTCTAATTTTATAACAGACATTTTTGTAATTCATTAGCATAAACCAATTAGTAAGACAGAAACAGGATTTGTACTAGTTAATGTAATGCATTGTCTCACCGTGCTCTCAGGAAGAGTAAATCCACGTTTGCCTTCTCAGATATTTTACTCTTTTTTTTAACTTAACTTTTTATCTACAGATCTTTACTCACACCTAAACACTGCAAATATCTGACTATAGTATCTTTTTCAAGTAGCACTCAGTGTCTCCAACTCCCTCCAAACAGCAAACCCCCAAGAGGGTCATTGACTGGAGTACAGACCAGCGTGAGGGGAAGGATAAGGGTCACAAATCCAGTTGTGTTAAAAAAAAATAAATACCACCCTCTCCTAGTTTTTCAATAAGTTTTGCCATGTTGAGTAGCAAGTATATTATTGGAAGCACAACACAGCTGAATTGGACAGAGACAGACCTAAGACATATTAAAAGTTTGGCAGATGAACTCAAGATTTGCATTTTTCACTCATTTCAGATTTTTTTTTCCTTTCCTTTAACATTTAATTCTTGTTTTCTACTACAGAAGTGGTCATATATTCACTGGAGAGAAACACATGGAGCTGTGTCCTGACAAGTGCCCTTCAGTGGCATGAAAAGTTGCATCAACAGCTCTTTCAGGTAGAGCACAGTCACACACACAGTATTCACAGGCAAATTTAGGGGGGTTAATGCTGAAACTAATTTTGCACGTCAGGTAAGATTTCAGTGAGGAAAAACAGCTGATGGAGAAGGCTCCTGCTTTAGAAAACATCAGAGAGATGAGTTTGGACTGCATTACCTGTGTAAAGCTGCTTTCTGTCTCCAAATATTCAGCAAAGGTGGACACAGAGTCTGTGAAAAACACACTTGGAGCTGCTCTGTGTTGATGCAGCAGTACTTGCTCTTTGTTGCCATGTCCCAGGTGGCACCATTTCGATCTGAATCTCTGCCCTGACTGCAGCAGCTTTTTACACCCAACTGGTTTTCAATATGCAGCTTTCCCAGAGGCCTGGGATCAACAGAAGATTCTAGAGGGAAGAGGAGGATCATAGTTAAATTTATTGGAGCAAACCGGTGCTCAGTAAAAGCTGCAGCAGGGGAGGTTCAAGTTGGACATCAGGAGGAATTTGTTCATGGAAAGGGTTGTTAAGCATTGGAATGGGCTGCCCAGGGAGGTGGTGGAGTCGCCATCCCTGGAGGTTTAAGGAAAGAGTGGATGTGGCACTCAGTGCCATGGTCCAATCGACGAGGTAACGTTTGGCCATAGGTTGGACTCGATGATCTTGAAGGTCTTTTACAACCTCAATCATTCTGTGATTCTGCAGTGATACAGCTGAATAAATAAAGCAATTAGGAATACACGATGGGTTTTTTTTCATTATACAAGTGCCTTTCAAGCTGCCTTTATACAGCGTAAGCATCCATGGTATAATCCAACTAAAAGCTGTGTTATCACAGTAACCTGGTGCTGATTCAAAGTCAATATACTCTGCTCCTAGGAGGCTTTTCTGCTGGTGCTTGGCAGCACACAGATGCAGGCACGTGGGTTTTGATGGGATGGAGCACAAGCAGGAGCCTGTGGTATCTCAGTGATATCCTAGACCTACCTGCAGTACAATATGTAGGTGCATGTCTAGGCTGATCTTTAAATTACAACAATCCTAACCAAAACCAAGTTTTCATTTTTCATGCTCAAGTCCATCTGCTTTGGCCCGGCACAGTTTAAATCGCCAGGACACCATGAGGGTAAGCCCTGCCAGGCAGTGCCAGCAGTTTTTCCCTCCCAGTGAGTGCTGCTTATGTGGCTCCATCAACTGAAAGGCACTGGATGACTGGTAACGCTCAGAACAACCTCTGATCTCTTGGCTGTCCCTCAAGCTGTATTATCACTGCAAACACGCACTTCCCTTAATCTCTATATAATCTTCTCACAGACAGAGTAATTAAAAAACAGTTCCATGTCTTTTCCCTGGCTTCTTTCAGCTAAGCGTTTTGCAGCCTCCCCATCCCTCATGCCAACAGTCTGTAAATTTTTTCCTGTGATTTTATATTTTTTTTATCAAACTTTGTACTCCTCTGTCAGCTCTTCTCTTTATGCAGAACTTCTTTCAGGTGAAATGCTCTCTTTCTCCCTCTTCACCTCATGGAAATTATTCATGTGCCTGAAAAGTCCTTGTGGAAGCAAGCTCCGATCCCAGCCTTGCATGGTTTTTAAGCACTCCCCTCCATGAATTTCTATCATCTCTTCCTATCTCACTGTGCCCACAACCTGAAGCAGACAGTTGGGGCACAAGGGCAGAGGTGAAGTCTCTGTGCCAGGGCTGTTTCCTGGCCTGCCGCAGGTCTGGATGCTCAAAGGGATTTCGGTAGGATGGTTCTCAGTGAAAACAAGCCCTGGCAGATGAGGAATCACCCAGATGGTGATCAAAGTGACAGCCTGGGGCTGCTGTGGGAGGCAGATGGACACCTCTCCCTGCCTTGCCTGGCCCCCAGGGCCAAGGCCACCTCTTGCCCACAAGGGCCCTGCCCTTCTTCCAGCCCTTGGAGATTCCCACAACAAAAACTCTTGGTCATGGGAAGATGTGATATGCTTCCCATAGGGTTGGTGTTTCTGTTAGGTATTCCTCTGGAAAGCTTTTCTCTTGTTATCTTTGGGATCATCTTCTTTGTTTTTATGCCTTTGTGAAATAGTTCTGTGCCAATCATGGGACACTTGGATGCTGTGCTGTGCTGCTTTTACTGTTCTGCTGTACTTAGACATGCATAGGACTTTGACATCCATTTTCCAGCACAACAAACCAGTGTTGTTATAATCTGATATTCTCAATTGTTTTGAGTGTGGTGAAGAACCACAGAGGGAATAGTGTGAAAACAGCTTCTGCAAAGTATCAATTTTGTTTTATCAAGGACTGTGCTGGCAGTTTGTACCTCATATTTTAATTTTTCACGGTAAGGAAACATTGGTGGATTCAATGTAATAATATTTTTCTACATGAGTGCCAAGGTTCCTTTGTCTGAAATGCTACATGGAAATTATTCACAAAAGCAGGTATTCACTGGTAACAGCTTTTCTGGCACTTTTCATCAGTTGATTTACAAAGGAAATCAGTGCCCTTATTTCCCTGTTATAGGTACAGAAGTACAGAGAGGAAAAAGAACTTGATACAATGTGTGCCTCCTAACAACATGATGGCTTGAAGAGGTGTTACAGACTTCTGGCTCCTCTTGGTTTTATTTGGAGTTGAGAGCCCTGGAGGCCCATTAAACAACTGTCATCGTTGACCTAAATAATTTCTTTACATTTCAATCTATTTATTGTTTTTATAGAGAATATTTCAATACTAAGAAAGGAAGCTGGATCCTAATTCTATTTGCCCTAGTCCTACAGGCTTCTCAAAACTCATTTCAAACATTTTGTAACCTTGTCAAGGCTCAGATCTGCTCAGATTTCAGCCCTGAGTGCCATCCCTGTGACTCCAAGGAGATGTGTGAGCACGACACATAGAGATAAGCCCTTGCAGAATCACAGCATTGGTCAGTATTTTCACTGGAAATTAAACATTTCATGGTGGGGTATTACAAAGAGGTATTTTTTTGTAATTACACATTTGGGAGCATAGCATGACTGCTTTAATTTGGAGATCACTGGATGCTTAAAACCTACATAGACTGCCTTGTAAGAAATAACCCTGAAAGTAAAAGGTGGACTTCTCCAAGGTCTTTTTTTAAGTGCCACCCAGGTTCCTCCATACAGTCCTCCTCCACATATGTGTGAAAAGAGCAGTTGTATGAACTGTATGTGACCAAAAAAGCTTCTGAAACCAGAAGGCTATAAATGACTATACAAACTTTTTAAACTTCAGGTTTTAAACCATTTGAGCCAAAATACATAAATCAAGCCAGATTTGTTGAATACACGGCTCAGGTCATAAAACTTTTCAGATCATAAACCTTAGCCAGGCTTACACAGAATCTGACTTGGATTTCAGATTTGTGATTATATGCAGGCTTTCTTGCAAGTATTTTGCATGCCCTAGCAAATACAACTGTGTTTTGTTTTTCACAGTGTCAGGGTCCTTTGAGCACTAACACACTCTTCAGCACTGCTCTGAGGGGTTTGTTGCCCGTATTCAGGGCCAGCTCTGTAACTTGGGGCAAGACTGCAGGGAAAAGAGCTGTGAGAAGTCTCCTCCAGGCTGGGCTGTGTCTGGCCTTGTGCCAGATCCTGCCCTGGCCTCTTTGACTTGCCTTTCTGGCTTGAACATTGCCCTCTGTTACCCAAGACTGTGCCCCAACAGACACTGAGCTCTTTTGCAGTGAGCCTGACACGTGGCTTTTCCAAGCACCTGGTTCAGAAAACAAACTACACAGTTAAATTAAAACAAAAAAACTACCACATCTTCATTACAAGTCTTGCAGGCAGCTGTCTTTTAAACAATAGGGTCTGCCATTTGGGTGAAGTCCTATTTGCCAGGATGTCATTAACATGGCATGCAATAGCAGCATGATGATGATTAACAATCTCTTGCAGAGTTTAGGTGCCATTTCTGTCTAGATACACAAGTCCTGGTCCCATTTTAGTGAGGGCTTTGTTGGAGGGTGGTGATTTTGGATTGAGAAGGTGTTCTTGTTACATCTGCACCTGAAATACATCTGTTAGTCATTGTTACACCACATTTGTCTTGTTCTCTCCATTATTCTTCTGTCACACCACTACTAGCATGAAAGCCAAATCCTGCGGACTCAGCGGGTGGAAATTTCTCTAGGACAGGACGGGAAGTTCTATTCACACACTGGATAATACTCAGAAACCTGTGATTCTATCTGTGAAGATTTAAAATTTTACTTGGGCTTTGTTTATGATTTGTGTGAATGATATTGGATAATTATTGTCATTTTCATCCAAGGACATATGATATACACATCCTCAAGCACCAGTGTCACTCTGTGTCTCCAGTTTCCTAATGAAATCCATGTTCACTGGGAAAAATGAGGAAGAGTCCTGTACTAGGTAGGACTTACAAGCCATATCCCACAACAAAATGACTGTACTAAGGGAGTGATTCTCTCTGGGTTTTATTTTTTCCAGAACAAACCCAATTTTGTCCTTGTTACTGGCATTGTCAAGAGGAGTCAGCCAGTGCTTTTCTTCAGCTGGCACTTAAAGGGTGAGAAAAATAAGGTGAAATATAGTAACATGACCCTGGTACTGCCAAATGACCTGAAGTGTGAGCACTCCACCGGTGCTGGTAGGATTAAAGAGTGGGACAGAAGTGGTTGCACAGTTTGTGGCTACAAAAGCTGTGCCAGGCACACTATGCAAACAAAACCAAAGGGACTTTTAAGATTTCTTCTGACTTTACTCATAGGATAAGTGTCAACCAAACAAATGGAGATAAGAAGACAGACAGAGGTAATGAGTACAAGGCATATTAAAAAAGGTGTATGTGCATACATATGTATCATACAGAGGGGGACAGTAGGACAGTCATAAGGCAAAATCACATTCTAGAATGTGAGCATCTCTAGCCTACAAGAAATAAGGAGAAAAACCATCTGATTAGCCAGAAAATCTGCAAAATTTAAGACAAAGTGAGTGCAACAACTCCAGCCCCCTCATGAATAGTATCCTGTGTTCCTTTGTTGTCTAGCTAAGCTGGTTTGAAAAGCCCCTTCATCAGCTGTATGTAGCTTCCAGCACAATGAAGGTGCAAAACTACACAATCCTTAAACACTCGGGTTCTTCACTGATGAACCTACATTGCAAGTTCCTCCAGTCTTGTTATAAACATCTTTTTTCCTAAAATACAGTGATCAAAAGGTTACGCAGTCCCCTACTGCCTCCAAAATGAATAACTTCTTTAAAAAACGTGTGTCTTACTATAAATAATCTTTTATTGTTTGCCTTTCAGCAGCCACAGCAGATCACGAGGGTGGTATCAGAAGATGTACCGGCAAACTAACGCAGAGCTCCTGCATCCTGAAGTTATGCTTCAAGCACGGTTGCTCCACAGCTCTGTGAATCAGCAATCTTGTGTTCTTGGCCAGTTTCTACCATTTACATATCCTGACTCCAAATCTACAGCTGCATGACTTAGTTGCATGACTAATCTCACTGAACTCCAGGGGCAAGACTTTGGGGGCCTGCAATACAAGTGTTGCAACTCCCAATACCTGTGGAATCAGGTCACCTGATCAAGTGCCTCTGCTCCCTTTTCAGCCAAAGCAGTTAAGCTCCATCAGATGTGGACTTCCTACAACACAATCACCAAACTACATGTCCTGCTGGATCTCTTTCTGTTCCTCTGTGTTTTACAGACAGGAGGACTAAAACTCAGGAGGAGGGATGGAAGATGCAATTCCCCAGATTATGCCATAATCTAGTGGCTACAGCAGCCTTCTTAGTCATGAGTGGGTTGCATCCCACCAGGACAAGGTGAAACTGAATTGAGATTTCCACTCTCTACTTAACTACATGTATTAAGATATTATGGGAAGGAAGCTCTGGTACTTCTCTTCCCTCATGTTTTTCACAGAAGCCTCTGGTTTCTCTGTGAACAACACTGGACTCAGCCATATGAGGCTCCAACTGTGCACAGTAGTGTAGGTTTCTCCAGGTATTCAGGTGGAATATAGACCTGTCTTTGCTGTGTTCCCAAACCATGGCAGGATTCAATGGGAGCCTGGCCATACCAGTCACTGACACCAGCGCAGTCATGGGCACTCCAGTTTAGTGACCTGTGGAACTTCCAGAACAAATGAGTAGGTGGTAGGAATTTTACCTACTAGGATCAGACAGCTGCCACAGCAGAAGATTTATAGGTAGCTTTCTTGAACTTGGCCAGAGGAATCCACCTGAGTCCCATTTCCAGAGCCCAAAGTAAATATTGTAGAATTTACCCATCGCGACAATGCACTTATTTAAGGCCTTGAATGTTTGAGGGCAAGTCACATAACCCTGTGTATTTTAACTCAGCACCACAAAAATGTTAATTACTTCCTTCATGATGATATTTTAAGGGTTAATTTACATATGAGGAAATGGCTCAGACTCCCCTGGGAAGGGGTCACAGCACCAAGCCTGACAGAGTTCAAGTGTTTGGACAACATCCTCAGGCACATGGTGGGATTCTTGGGGTGTCCTGTGCAGGGCCAAGAGTTGGACCTTGATGATCCTGATGGGTTTCTTCCAACTCAGGATACTCTGTGATTCTGTGAAATGTCACAGACACCCACATAATTCTGAGCACTTTCTGTGTCATCAAGAAGAGCAGCAGTGCTCGCTCTACCCTGGGAGCGAGAGGCGGCAGAACCACCAGCTACATCCAAAATACTTGTCATACAGGTTCTGAATCGCCCTGGGATGCACAGGTTGTACTACCTGGAAAAGGGCGCAGCAGTAAGGCAAGCAAGTTGTTCTGAGTATCATCATGTGTGTTGAGCACACCTGCTCTTTTCCTGAGAACCTTCCCAGGACTGGGAGTATGTAACACCCCGAAGATGGAACACTGAGGGAGGTGCATCACTGGCATTTTCATCAGATTGGAAAATTGGTGATGTCGTGGATGTTCTCAATTCACCTGCAACAAACAGGAGCAGTGAATTAGTATTGGCTATCACAGGCAAAAGCTCTGACCACTAGACGTTTACATCAAAAATGGGCATCCTATATTGTTAAAAAGTGAGGTCTACCCAATTATTTATAAAAGCAGTCGTAACTGACTACCACCAGTAGATCTTGTATTGCACTGAATTCAAGGTATCTCACTTTTAGCCCTGCCTGAGGTGTGGGATGGAGCTTCAGAGCCATCTTCTCATTTGGTTTGTTATCAGCCAACTCCACACAGCTCTCTCATCCCGTGTAGATCTCTTCTGTCTGTCAAGGTATCTGCCTTTTCCATTGAATGATCCTATGAATTATGAACACCTTCCCTAAACTGTGGCTTCTCTTCCATCTCTGAATTGAAAATGAGCAAATGTTGTCAGAAATAACCCTAGGGAAGCTTTCACTCCTCCTACTCTAGTGGTGAGTAACTTGACACACCCTTGGACATGAATCTGCTCCATTTCATAATCTCGGCAATTCGGGATTTTCCAAGGAAAAAAGTCCAGAACTGATTAAAACACAATCTGTGCATTCTGAGGCAAATTCCCATCAGCTGTGTATCTTATACTTTGCATCCTGATTCTCTCATCATACCAGTCTGTCTTCCCTAGGGATTTATTTGGCATGTACATGCCTTGCTTAGTTACCTACACATGAACTTTTCAGCCTGATGGTAAGATTTGAACACGCTCCTCCCTTTCATGTCAGGATGCCACAAGGTAAACTCTCTGCTCCTGCTGTTCAGGTTGATTCCCATGCATTCCTTCTCATTCCTGTGGTGTGGGGCGCATCCCTTTGATGACTCTCAGGAATCAGAATGGGTCTGGCTTCTTGAAAAGGTGCTTTTTTTATTTTTGTTCCATGGAGCTGTAACTCTTAGGATGTGATCACTCTGATAGGAGTCCTAGGCACCCCTGCAACTCTGTGATGCCCTATGGAGAGGCTTTGTTTTCACTCTTGGACTGGGGGTATGGCCTTTGAACAGGGTTCTGCTGCTGGGGAACCAGGAGCTGGGATCCCTGTTGCTCTGACATGCTCCAACAAGAAGCCTCCTGCTCCCAGGAGTTCTCAGCAGCTGTTTGCCCCTGGAGCACCGCTGGCTTTCAGACACGGATGTAGCTCCCACTCCTGCACATAAAATTTGATCCAATGTGCAATAATTGCAGCTGACTCAAGCCAGCATGAAAGAGCTCATTCCTTTCTTAAAAGAAAAATACATTTAAGAGGTCTGCAGAAATCACAGTGATAAAAAGGCTGCAAGTTGGGCACGACCACCAAAGTCCAGACAATGTGTGGAAGAAGGAACCCTCTACTTCTGGGCTCCAGGTTGATGAAAGGCTGTGCACAAGTTTTGGTTGTTTTTTTGTTTAATTCTACCCCTCCTCTGCCGTCTTGCTAGTAATAAAATACAGCTATAAAATAAGGCAGTGATTGCACCCAAACACATGCAGGCACAGGTTAGGAACTTGTCACAGTCAAACAATGTGGATAATAAAGGAAAGCATGGGAATGAAGGCACATTATTCCAAAACAAGCAATTCTATAATTTAATTCCTGGTAGCCAGAGTGAAGAAACAACTTCCAGAAATGAGAGCTTCATGCCCACAACTAGGTAGTTCAAAACCCAAACTTTTGAAACAGCAGGAATCTAAACCTCCTCTTCTTTTTTTGATTTCTTGTTTCTGAAAAAGAGCAAACAAACCCCTATCCACCCACAAAGCAACCAGCCTCTCACCCAGTTTCCCAAATTCATTTGTTTTCAATTCCAAATCCTGGGACAAAGAGGCAAAAAGACCAAGTTTGTTTTGTTGCTTTAGGATTTGTTAGTCTGTTCGAAAACCATAGGGGTAAAAACTCCAATCTCCATTTTCTCACTACGCAAACAGCAGAATACTAAATTAAAAAATTAAAATTACAGGAACCTGGGAAAATGGAAGAAATGGAATTATAATGAAACTGTTACCCAATCTGTATCTCTTTCCCAGTAGTAAAATTAAGGGGGCGGTAATCACATGTTCCACTCCCTCACAGAATTGTTCTGACAAGCTGCCAATTAATGACTGCAAGACACTCTCATGCTGTAATTGAGGATATAAAATACCTTAAGATAATGTTTAAAATGGAATTATCTCATTTTTAAAACAATAGAAACGCACCTTAAACAATGTCGTCTTATCTGAATTATGTTTAGAATGGTTAAACACACGGATTTAGGTTCAGAAAAGAATGAAAGGACTATAACAACTGCATTCTAAAACAGCTCTACAGAGGAGACCCCACCACTGCAGTCTCTTGTATTTTCAACTTCTTACTCTTTTTGCTGTGGCAAATCTCGACATTGCACACCTTGCACCTGCATATAATGCCTAGTCACTAAAATCCTGTGCCTGTCCCAGATTATGTGCAATACAGACATGTGAAGAAAACACAAAACCCAACCCAGGCAGGCTGGGCAGACTCTGGAATAATGGGCACACTTGGCTCTCATCTAAATGAGGCAGCAGTATAATAAGAAATACATCTTGTGACATGAGAACATAACGCTGCTGCACCACCCGGACTAAAATAGCAACACACCAGAGCCACCTGACTCCATTCCCTGGAAAATCCAAGCTTGTAACTCTGAGGCAAAACACCCACCATTTAAACAAAGCCTGTGTTTTCTGCTTTTGTTGCTCATGATGCTATTGCTAAGTTAATGTTATTTGGGCCTTAGCCTTTCAATTTATCCAGGCTGCCAAGGGATCAGAATTCTGAGGTAACTAGTGGCCTTTCCCTATCATACCCAAATGCCACAGCATTGTGTGTGCACAATTTAACAGATTTACAAAGTAAATAATACAGGCAAAGTGTTACAAAACCAACAACAACAACAAAAGGCTCTCTTACATACAGAACTTTGAGCATTATCCTGCAGAAATAAAAGCATACCCAGGCTGAAATGAAATCAGGAGATTGCAGCAAGTCATTGAACTAATTTTTTATTCCAGCTGTAAAGTTTTAGCATACCAACAAAAAAAGATACAAGAACCAAGCCTTATTCTTTCCAAAATGCTGTATCTTTTTTTACCCATGCAGAATAACATAGTTGTTAGACCTTATCTAAAATAATTGGTTCGTTAAATACATTTTTAATAAAGACAGCTAAATTCTTTTAAGTTCCACTGAAAAAGCTTTCACTGGGATTCATGAGCAGCAACTTTTACAGAGATAAGCAACATTTTAATACCTGAAATCGCTTACTAAGAAAGTCCTGTGCAGAACTCAGGAATGACTGGGTGCAGCATAAATGAGCTGAAAACCCTTCAGCATGTTCTTTCTCCCACTCCTGTAACAGAACTTGTCCAGCTCCTTCACTGAGCTATTGCAATAGCTCATACGCAAGAACAAATTAAAACACTCTTGGGGTTTTTTTCCTTACAGCAATAAGTATTAATTGGAAATAAAATCCATTTTTCCTTATTCTCCCGGGTATTTTTCAAGACTTAGAATAAACCTTATAATAAATAAATTCTTGCCTTCTCAAATCTGGACACTCAAGTCACAAATTTCTTTAAAAGTTAATAATAAACACTTTATGGCTAGTACATTTTATTCATTTACACTCAAAATCATCTAAAATGAAGCTTTCCTCTGACTGTAGGCACTTTAACATCACTAATAATAATACAAAACACTAGCAGCCTTTGAATAATTATTTCAGTGGGAAAGCAGCTCTTCAGACCTCTACAAATGCTCCTTTCCGTCCTTCATCATGCTGGGAAATAATCTTAATTCTCTTCACAAAATGCTCTCAAACATATCTTTTGCACAAAAAGATGACCAGATTCAAGCTATTTCTGATGATGACAGAAGTCCTGGAGAACATCCTGCCACCTGCTTTAGTTTTACTAGGACAGAAAAACAACTGGCTGCTGCTGACTTGGATAAACTAAGTTGTTAAAAGCTTTACAAGGCAGACCCACGATGTTAAACACACATCCAAATGGACGCCAAGCAGGATGTTCTGCTTCAGAAAGGGACTCCTGGTGCTGCTGCTGTCACCCAGGCACAGGGCAGTGACAGCAGCAGCTGTGAGTGTGATGTGTTCTGCACCTCGTTTGCCATCGATTCCCACAGCTGTCTTGTCAAATACTCACGGCCTGGAGAACACGGCTGGTTTGCCAGGCATCCTTGGAATTGCCCGTGTTAGGGGTGTCATGCTCAGTCAGCCCTCGTGTGCTGAGCTGACACGGATCCAGCACAGCTCCGGGGCCATCTTCTGCAGATGGCACAAAGAAACAACGTTCTCTGTCGAAGGGCAGTTTTAGGGTGCACTCCACACTCCCCTTGGAGTGCCCACTGCAATCCTTATTCACCTTAAAGTGCACAAAGGTAATTTAAAAGCTACTTCAGTATTAATGTCATGTAATTTTCACACTAACAGTTCAAAGTCAAGTAAACAAGTTTCAGCCACACACACACACAAACACTTTCTGCTTTTTTAAGTTACCAAGCACATACCATAAAGACAAGTCTTGCTTTATCCTTTGTAATCACTGTGTTTTTTCCCCCCGTACAGTTATTCAGATCTCATTCCAGAATTCATCATCAAGTTAATTAACAGATTTCAGTTTGTTCTGTGTTTAAGGGGAGATTATTTGTGGCTTGACTCTGGGAAAATGCACAAAAGAGGCGGCAGCTTGTTTTTCAGCTCCTGTCTTTGCATTTTCTGCCCAAGAGCCAGGGAAGGATGTAAATTAGGAAGCACATGTATCTTGCAGGATTAGCATTTCTCAGAAGGCAGAGAAATGACAGCACACCTTCCAATCTCAAGATAGAAAAATTGATCATGTACCATTTCAAGGGTGGATTTTTTTCATGTTTCCCTGCCAAGCTGCTGATCTGAAATCTTATTTATATTTCATTCATCCCTCTTTCAGTAACAGCAGCTCCTCTGTTGGTAATATAATTGTTCATATTATAATGCCTCAAGTGAGGTTAAGACTCAACGATGAAAACATATGCCACATACAAATGTACATAATGTACAATATAGGAAATCTATCAGGATTCATTTGGTGCAGTTACCTGAGCACTCTGGATAATAATCCTCGGTGAAATATTTCACAATGTGAATATCAAATACGTAAAACTGCCTCAAGGCCAAGAGAATCAGAATGCACCAAATGAATTTTCTTGTAAAGATTTGCTCCTTCAGAAATTCAAATGAAAATGCAGAGAAATTTTTCCAAGTAATCACAAGAGAGCAAATTTAGGAAGGAAAAGGCTAAAACCCTTAGATATTGTCTTAGCAAGTAAGTTCTGCAGCCAAAAGCTTAATTCAGATCAGCTTTTTTATGGTGCATAAGTATTTTGAGGCAAAAAAAATTGATTCTAATGCTCATGGTTATTAATGAAATGTCTGCTTCTGGCACTTAGAATTTAAAACACAATGGTCCCACTAGATCACCCTGGTGCTGTGCTCACAGACCATCAGATTTTAACCTGTATTCATCCAATAACATAAAGCATAACTTCTGCTCAGCTAAAAAATAATTTTCAGAAATACATCTAATCTTCAAGACATGAAGACATGAAGACATGAAACGATGGCATATCCTCAGCTTCTCTTGGGAATGTATTCTGGTGGTTAACCATGGAAAAAGGTATGTCTTATTTCCTATTTGAATTTGTCTGGCTTTTGCCTCTGGCCATTACTTCCCATTATGCCTTTCTTCAATAGATAAAAGAGCCCTTTAATATCCTGTATTTCCCTCCAGGAATGTTCCTATACACCACAATCAAGTCACCTCCCAGTTCTCTTTCAGATAACTTTTAACAGCATGAGCTCTTAAAACATTCCAGTGTAATGCATTTTCTCCAACCACCAGAACACTTTGCCTCATTCTTTTGCTCTCTCTTCTATTCCAACATGCTCCTTAAAATCTGAAAACCAGCGCTGTATGCACTACCCTGTGACAACACTGTTGAGGCCAAACATGAGAGGTAAAATAAACATTTTTTAATTCCTTTGTTTATACATTCATTAATCCCTTTCTGCAGTGACAACATACAGGAGAGCCCTTATCTGATTGCTTTCTTATCTGACCCTTAAACCCTTCTCAAAGTCACTACCTTCCCAGGCTATAGTCTTCTATTCTCCAGTTATGGCCTCCACATTTGGTTCCTTAGATCGACAACTATATATTTTGATGAATTAAAATTCACTATGTTTGAACAGGCTGCTTCTACCAACTGTTCTCATCAGTGTCTCGTGCTGATTATTTACGATTCCATTAATCCTGGAGCCAAATTTTTGCAGCAGCAGCGAAAACTGTAGTAGGACACAGGACCTGCTACTGGAACTTTTTTAGACACCATCTCTTTCAACTAAGTGTTCATATAGCTTTCTTCTTCTTGACACCTGGCAGCAAATCCCATTTGCATGGGTTTATTGGCACAGCAGGCACCTAATGTTAATGAGAATATCGTGCAGCACTGAGCCTTGAGTCAAGTACCTCCTCAAAACAGTATTGATATCTATTTTAACCAAAACACTGTGTAGACTTGCATCATTTTCCTTCATTTCAACTTTTTATTAGCTGAATTCCACAAAAGATTTTTTATTTTGATTAAGATAACTATGAAGTTAACCAGTCACTGGGGTCATATTACTTACCCTTTTCAAAAATGGCACAAAGTAACATTTAATCACTTGTTTAACCTCCTAATTTTAAGGCAAGATCTGGAGCATTAGCAAACCACAGATCAGCACTCGTTGGACAGGCAGAAGCATCAGAGGGCAGAAGTGACCAGAGCTTGCATTTCCCATAGCACTTCCAGCATGGAAACCCCAGCAACTGTGGACTTTCAACGTACTTGTTTACAAACGTTCCGGTCCTGCTGAACTTCCAGCCTTGCATGCACTCAGAAGGAGATGTGGAAACCTCCTCCCGACTATGGAGATGGGTCAGGCACGACTCTGCCTCAGGCATGGCAGAAACCTTCCAAGCAGCTCCACAGCCCTGAGGGTCACTCACTGCCTAAACCGGCCTGACTGCTGGGGCTATGACCACTCACAGCCTCAGCTTTCCACCTCATGTTTACACCACCAGATTTAGGCTTCTGGGGGCAAAGAGGAGGCACAGGGCAGGGGCAGCAGGCACGGAATTTGGGGGTGCTGAGGCCAGACGTGGTGGCTGTGGTTGAGGGCAGCAGCAGCTCGCCCTGTGTTAGAATTATAGAGTCATAGAATATCCTCAATTGGAAGGGATCCACAAGGAACATCGAGTCCAGCTCTTGGCCCTGCACAGGACCTCCCCAAGAATCACACCACGAGCCTGAGAGCGTTGTCCAAATGCTCCTTAAGCTCTCTTCAGGGTTGGGGCTGTGCCCACTTCCTTGGGAAGGCTGTTTGAGTGCCCAATCACCCTCTGAGTGAAGAACCTTTTCCTAATATCCAACCTAAACCTCCCCTGACACAGCTGGCAGCCTCTCATCATACACATTTGAAAACAAAAGGATGTTCGAATTTCAAGTTCCTCCTGCCTGTAGGTCTACAGAAGGAAAGGCAACTAATTTACTGGGAGCCAACTGCTCTGTAAGTCTGATGCTCCAGCAAGTCTTAAGCTGCTCTAGGGGAGGTTCAAGCTGGATATTAGGAGGAATTTCTTCACAGAATGGGTGACTAAAACATTGGGCTGCCCAGGGAGGCAGCGGAGTCACCGTCCCTGGAGGTGTTTAAGGAAAGACTGGATGTGGCACTTGGTGCCATGGTCTGGTTGACACGGTAGTGTTGGGTCACAGGTTGGACTCGATGATCTCAAGAGGCCTTTTCCAGCCCAACTGATTCTGTAATGAGGAAGAAGAGAAGAAGGAGAAGGCTCCGACCTGCTCCCACGCAAACCCTCCACCTCCCCGACTCCTGCCCCTCACGCTCGAGGCCGCCTCGCGCCGCCCGCCGCCTCGCGTAGCGCCGGGTCCCGATTGGCTGCGCCGTCCGTGGGGGCGGGACCGCGGGGGGGTCGCGGCCAATCCGCGAGCGGCGGGGACGTCCCGGGCGGGGGGTCCCGGCCGCGCTGAGGGGGGGAGCTGCGCGCAGGCGCGGTGGGGCGGGGCCGGCGCGGGCGTGAGGGAGGGAACGAGAGCGGGGCCGGAGCGGCGGAGGAGCCGCGCTGAGGCGAGGGGCAGCCCCGCCGCGTCCGTCGCTCCCCGCCGCCTCGCCCTCCAGCGCGTTTCTCGTCAGGGAACAGCTCTGCTCCCCCGCGGAGCCCCCGTCCGCTCCCGCCGCCCATCAGGAGAAGTCCCGTCCCCCCCCCCCCGCCGCCCTAAGCGCGCCGCCGGTCCCGCCCCTCGCTATGTCCGTGGGCCGGCGCCTGGCCCGCCTGGCCGCCCACCTGCAGGACCCGCGCAAAGTGGCCGCGTTCCAGCGGCTCTGCGGCGTGGAGGGGCCCTCGGGCTGGGCCGGCGCAGGGCAGCGGGGGCCGGTGGCGAACGGCGGCCCCGCGGGCGGGCAGGCGCATCCCACCGGGAACACCGCCGGGAACGGCGCCGTGCCCGGCGCGGCGGGACCCCCGCGGCCCTGGAGTAGGAGGCCGCGCCGCAACTCGCTGACGGAGGAGGAGGACGGCAGCCAGGAGTTCGCCACCCGCAGCCGCTTCCTCTACTATCTTTTCAGCCTGGGCACGGAACTGGGCAACGAGCTCTTCTACATCCTCTTCTTCCCCTTCTGCATCTGGAACCTGGACGCCTGGCTGGGCCGGAGGCTCATCATCATCTGGGTGTGGGTGATGTACCTGGGGCAGTGCACCAAGGATGTGATCCGCTGGCCGCGTCCCGCCTCGCCGCCCGTGGTGAAGCTGGAGGTGTTCTACAACTCGGAGTACAGCATGCCCTCCACCCACGCCATGTCGGGCACCGCCATCCCCCTGGCGCTGCTGCTGCTCAGCTACGGCCGCTGGCAGGTAAAGCTCGCACCTCCGCGTCCTCAGCCGGGCGCTCTCCGGCCCCGGGGTGTGAGGATGCGACAGTCCTGATTGATTTTTGGGAGGAGAGGTGGCTGAGTTTGTTCGGGAAAAAATGTGAAATTTGTGCCTTTCCCCCTCCCCCCTTTATTTATATTTTTTTTCCTGCGATCTAAGCGAGTGCTCAGGTAACAAGAACTGTTCTAGTAATTCTGTCCTGTTGAATGGAAGTCCTGCTGGCTTTGTGGATTAGCTCAGCAGGCACGAAAAGTCTGCGGTAATAATCTGCATTTTGTTCTTGTGAGGGTTTTTTCCAACTTGTCCCTTCTTCTTGCGAAGTTCGGATAGGCATCTGATATTTTTACAGGCATTTGGTTTTACTGAGTGAGAATTTGGTGGAGAGCCATCAAGTAAAGCACTTTTTGCTGATCGTTCTCTACCACGAGTCACTTTGTAGCCTCAGTCAGTCTGTAGCTTTAGCTTTCCTTTAACGATTTTGGTTTCATTAACGACAAACTGTAAATGATTATTTCTGGGTTTTGTACTTTCGGGCGACCTTACAACTATCAGTGTGCTCTTAATTAGCAGGAATTGATAATCTCTGATCTTTTCAGCACCTTCATTCAGCAGAATCTCTAAGATCTGCCTGTGGCACTTTGGGTCAATAGATGAAGTTAAAATAACAGTGTTGATCATCTGGTTTACGCAAGCAGTGGCATGTGCTTCGGCACTTGCTGTTAGAAGTACGGCAACAGCAGCGACTCCAAGGGAAGGACATCACGTATCCAGCTTTAAATCACTGCACCAGTGTCAGTAGTAACTGAGGGATAAGGCTTTCCCAGGCATCAAATGTCCAGTGTAGAGTTTTGAGGACTGTGTGTGTAATGTTGAAGAAGTTATGCAATAATTCGACTCTTAAATTCTTAATGGTTGCAAATCCTTATTATAATACCTGCCTGGTTTAAGTGGGATATAATCTCAACAGAGAGAACTAACGTCTCGTTCTAAGCTTTAGGCAGGGGCTGAACTCTTGTCTTCCCAGTCACTGATAACAATCACCAGTTGTCGGCTGCCACAGGCTGACACTCTGTGGCTCTATCTCAGTGTCTAGAATGAGTGGCTGAAAGGAAAGAGATAGTTGAAGGTTAGAGATTGTATTTGGCCTCTCTTTAACCAAAGCTTATGTATCTATTTTCTGCAACGTGCCCAAAAGAATGCCCTAAAATGTGCCCAAAAGAAAACTATTAGGGATTCATATTCTTTGCTAGGAAAATGTGAAGTATCACTCTGCTAGAGTTGTGCAGGGATAGTCATATATAATATATATAATATATAAGTAATAATGTCATGGTTTATGGATGTTGAAATAAATGATTTTCGCTGAGATTCTTAATCTCAAAGTTGTTTTGATCATGTTTCGTCATGATCAATGTTCGATCATTTGAATATTTGATTATCACTTGTTGGGTGTGTAGGGCTGATGTCAGTTGGAGGAGCGAACTGGATTTCTCTTTCTTTGCATGTGGGGAAACCTCATTTAGCAGCAGCAGTCGATCAGCTTTGCAGAGACTGATGTCATGTGTGCAGAGGAGAGCCCGCCTCGATTGCTTTTACAGAACCAGCACAGTGACAGTGTGGGAAATGTGTTTTTGCCAAAGAACCAAGTTCGATCTTTGGTTTGCCAGCCCTGTGACTGCAGTCTGTGAAACACTGTGCTAATTGACTAAACATATGTATAATGAATGCATATTAAGAAATCATAAACATTCAGCCTTGTTACTTGTCCAGAAGTGTGCTTAGGAAATGAGGAAGCAAAGTGTTTGAGTCTTACTTTTGATTCCTTTTCCTGTGAAATGGGTGTGAATAACAGACCTTGAAGCTTCTACCATTTCAAAATATTCATGTAGAAAAAATCTCTTCTGATTTTTAAATTATCTCCAAATATTAATCAGGAGTTAACCTTTGGCATGTCAAGAATCTCTTGATTCACCTCTAGAGTTAAGCTTTCATCTGATGCTTCTTCTGTTCTCCATATTTTACTGGTGTTGAAAGGGGGTAGAATCTATGTGACGTGTTTTTGTCATGCTTTTCTGGAAATAGATGGTGTCAAAAAAGACTGACCTTAGAACTTCTTGGAAAGCTATCAATTATAAATGATTTTTATTGAATTATAAAAATTTAGCAGTAGGTACAGATGGTTAGATTTAAACTTTTTGGCAAATGTTGGGGTACAGTCTTTCTGTATATATTCAGTGTGAAGAAGCATTACACATACCCTGATGGTGACCAGTCCACATCCTGGGACTGTTGGTTCAGAAAATCACAGTGGAGTGAGGCTGAGTGTGAATTGAAGCAGATACAAGTGTGACTTTCTGCAGGGACTTTATTCTGCAATAGAGGTGACTTTGAGTTTGTCACTTTGAAGTTTATACTAAACCAAAGAAAGCTGCTCGTGCTCTAAAAGATGTTATTCCAGTGAGAGGGGAATCTCTTTCCTGTATGGCTTATTTGGAGTTTGCTTTCAGTGAGCTATGACTTCCTACTATTGTGTGATAATTCTTTTCTATCAAAGACAATCTATTGGAGTCTTTTCCTTGAATAACATAGAGAAGAGAGCAAATCTGCTGTTATTTTTCTACATATGGCCCAGATTGTCCATTTAAAATCATGTTTTGATTGCAGTAGGGTTTTTTAACCTGTTGAATTTGTGCTTTCCATGTTTTCAATGGCTATAAGTAATGCTGTTACAATTATTTTCCTTTCACATGGTGTTCAAAAGTACTTTTGACTATATACAGTAAGAGTGAAATAGTTGCTATAAATGCAATTGCTCAAGTAAAATATTTTCAGAGATGATGTATTTTAAAGATGGTTTGGATGTTGGGAATATTCACTTTCAGAGAGAAACAAGTTATATATTGACATAACTTTCATAATGTCTGACTGTTCTGTCCACTGTGGAATATAATTTTTCAGTTTCTCCTTCTATTATGAGAACTTACCTGAAGCTTTTGATACATAATCCCTATTTATTTATTTAATATGCTACATTTCAGGAGGGAAAACCACTTGTTTCAAAGATATTTCAGTACCCTTGAAATATAAAGCTCATGCCAAAGACTCACAAGAGTTTAGGAACGTTACAGATGCTGATTCTTTTTTTTCCTGTCTTTGATGTTCTGATGCCCTGAAAGAGGAGGACAAACACTTAAAAGGCAGTGGGATTATAATTCTTAATTAAACCTTTATCACTTTGAGGAAAACCTGCTTTCTTTGAAATACTGACAGTTTGAGCCAGGCTGGCTTATCATGTCCTGAATGGGGAGGAAGAAAGAGTGTGAACTGCTAAAATTATCTACAAAATCTCCAAAGACTCAGGCTGAGACTGCTGGAAAAAGTACTTTTTTATATTTTGTTTGATTACATTGAACCACTAATTTCTAATAGATATAAAGCCATATTTTATTAGAAATGGTGCTTGAGTTGGAATGGCACCTGAATGTACCATAACCCTGCTGGCTTATTTTGAGGAGGACAAAAAAAAATACCATCCAGAGAGGCAGAAAACACAGTTTTCTCCCATTGTTCCTCCAGGATGCAGCCTGGCTCTGGCAGTAGCTGTCTGCATTAGGAAGTGATGGGTTTGCACTCCTTCCTGAGCTCGGCATTGATGAGCTGAGTCAGGAGCTGCTGACTCTCTCTGCCGGCCGCCGAGCAAACTTCGCCCAGTTGATGTTCAGCAGGAGCCCAGAGCCTGGGTTGATGAGTAGCAGTTCCTCTGTAACTAAATTAACCAACGTTCTTAGAATGGCTTCCCCTCTGAAGCAGTTGATGGTGCTGAATATGACAGCACTGCCCTCCCCGTGTCTGCCAGTGTTTGATATGCAAAGCCTCTCATCAGTGACTGTCTTTCCACCCTGCTGGTGCTAATGGTGACCTGGATAAACACCCCTGCTAAACCCACAGCAGATGCATTTATTCTGCAATGGTTTCTCTGCTGTATTTTTCAGTTCTCAGTTAATTAGTGCTCTGTTGACTCTGTGGTACCAATTGTGTAAAACTGTCACGTGGTACCACATCAAACTCCCAGAAATCTTTTGTCTGTGCCAAGACTTTTATCAAGGCTGATGAATCTAATCAAATGAGATGGGTTTGACAGGATCTGTATTGGGATTTCTGGGAGATCTGATCACTCTCTGATTCTGATTGACCACAACTGAATATTGCCTCTAGAATTGTCTGCCCGCTCTTTCATTTCAAGAGACTAAATTCCCACAGGAATAGGGAATAATTGATTATTGGGGGTGAATGAATAGTCTAATCACAACATTGCTACAGTGAGAATTTTACAGAAAGGGGCAAATCCTAGTTTTAAGTGTCTGTCCTTGTTGAAAGGCTTTCATTATTAGTAAGATTAATGTAGTCATAAACTGCAAGCTACACACAGGAAGCCATCTCTTATGTACAAAATCTGTGTGTGAGAGCAAGTATAGACTGCAGAAGGAGACACCTCACCTCTGGGACGAGCCCAAATGGATTTTTGGCTGAAATACTAAAATGTTTGGAAGAAACTTTGGCAAAGAGATGCGTGCTTGTCTAATTGTTTTTCTTACACGTTTCTTAAACAGTCAGTGCTTCTGACATGAGAAGCACAACTGAAGGGATGATCTGAAAACACAGAATTACCCACACAATCGAGAGCAACTGAGAAAGAGAGATGGGAACTTGGAGGGTCTCAACACTGGCCTTGTCTCTTGTATTTGAAATGTGAGGTCTTTTGTGGGCCATATTAATGCCTGTGGTTGGTAAAGGAAGCTGAAAAAAGTTGTGTGGCCTGTTTGATTTAGGTATTCTTAAAAGTTTGAAGAGAGCACAGCCAGTTCTTAGAAATCTCACTGGGGAATCTGTGCCAGAGGAATACAGCAGCCTGTCCTATTAAACCCTGTTGACTGGCATTAAATATATTTTTCAGCTTTGCCTAAGCAAATCTTTAATTAAAG